TTTTTTCTCCACTTCCTCTGCTATAATATAGAAAATTTAAATTAATAGACTTGTATTCCGAATTCAAATAAAGAACGTGTGATCATACTAGGGCTATATATCGATTCTACTAGACCTACCTGTTATTTGAAATTTTGCACCTATAGCCATCCATAAACGTTGTTTAAATACAGTGTCTTTATACGTGACACTGATTTGGTCGAACGGATTCAATAAACTCCTTTATTTCATTTATTTTTCGTTTTTTCAAGACCGTCACAATTGTAGGGTTAACCCTCATTGCCGCCATTGTTAGAATAAAAACCACGTGTCTACTTTGACGTCACAAGAAAGACTTCTCTTTATTGGAGGAATTTTGGCGTAAAAAGTAGAGACATGCTCTACTTTATTTTCAGTTCTGTTTCAGCCAAAATTTCAGAAAAATTTTTACGCTTTCTGTTTTATGCTAGATTTTACGCCGAATTTTACGCATGTGTGTTCCTGGCCTTAAGAAACATTCTGTTTAGTCAGAAATATTTTATATCTGATATTTTTGAATTTCAAAGAAAAATGAAAACATTGTATTTTATAATTTAATTTATTATAATCATATTTCACATTTAAAGACTTTTCTGGAAGATTTTTATTATGTAAATAAATAAACACTAAATAGTTATTTGATGTAATAAAAACATTATTAAAAGTCAGTTTCATATTTTCTTCTTCCATATTTATGAAGGTTAAAGCATTTTTTGAAATAATTAAAGTTAAAAACAGTTTTCATATATATAAAGCTTAAGTTATTTAATTTTTTATTATATTTCTTGATTTATATATAAAAGTATTTCTATAAATTATTTTTTAATTGAATATTTTCAGAACTCAAGAGTTGTGCTCATATTACATCCATAGAAAGAACGTCACAAGGTATATATTCACAAGAAGATGCTCTTGTTTCTTATGAATGGTCATGGTCAAATATTCAAAAAGCCATAGAATTAAAACATTCTTTACTTTCTGAATATTGTAATAGGATGAAAAATCAAATTAAATAAAAGTTAACTTACTAATTTATGTTAAATATTTATAAAAAGAATTTATTTTTGCATTGCTTATAAATCAAATTTTGCATAATATTAGTAAAATAGTCATCAAGTATAGGAAAACATCTCATTTTGTATTTTTAAGTTTATTAACAACACTTAAGTCAAATTTTAAAAAATAAGAAAACATGTAAATGTAATATTTATGTAAGTTTTTTGTTTTTATTTCTCATGGCAATGTCTGTCTTACAAGTTGAATCTTACTAACTAACCTTAGACATATTTGATTAGCATCTCATTGCCAAATAATAAAATTGTCATATTCGTTCCTAAGGAATCAGGCATTATTGGTGATAAATGCTTTTGAAGTTTCTTTGCTTTCTGCTGTGATCATTGATTTACATTTTATGTTTCTAGCAAAAATATTTCAACTACAAATTGTTAAAGAATTGTGCATCATTGTTACACAAATAAAAGTCATAAATGAAAGACAGAAAGGGTCGTCTTTAAATCCATAGAAAAGTGTTCTAAAAATTTGTGTTAAAGAAATTTTACTTCTAAAATTGAACAAATTAATTTTGCAATTTGTTTCAAAATATAATACAGGAACTTCCAAAATGTATGTTTAAATTACTCTGTAATTATATTAATTGTTATTTGAGAAGTATATGATGTATACTACCTCTAAGAAATGCCATAAATTAAAATGGCAACCCGTAACAGAGAAGGCATTTTATATTCTATAGTTCACAAAGTCAGAATCACTCATCATTGTGCAACATGAGTAATTTGCAGGAGCGGCACAATTCTAAGCTCCTGCAGATTAAGGTAGATTGATAATTTGTAGTGTGTTGGAAGATATGTAATTGGTCTGTATTGTGTAGAGTCTACGGTTTCATGTAGGTGATGCCCCGAGTAAGAAATTTTGGCATATCTTGTGGATTGATGATGATGATTAGCTAGTTCCTGGTGCAGTGATGTAAACTTTTTGTACCAAAAATTGTGATGATGTCTACACCAGGTGTTTTTCACTTGTGTGTTCTGTTAACAGATTATTATTATTAAAAAATAGTTAAGAAATTCTAAGGTGTCCCAAAGATCTATATAATGTGGGGTCCTGCAGGTGTCTAGACACTCACTCACCTTAATACCTCTTAATAATTGTATAAAATATGTTTTGATTGAATTGTTGCATGCTATCATGATAATAGGAACGTGTTTTGATAGGTTAATTTGTGAATAACTGTTAATGAAAAAGTATACACCATTGATTTAAAGCAATGAGTGCCCTAAGATCAACAAAATATCTCCGACTGGGAAGGAATCCGGCATCGGAATTGTTGACATCACCTGTGACCCAAGAAGGTCTCTAATTATAATCGAGTTGTGGGGACGAAGATTCGGACCTAAAGAGGGTTTTTCAGATATTTTTGAACAAGTTTACAAGAGAAGTCAATGTAATAAGTACTTAACGGAAGTTTTTTATTTGCTCCATTACTTTGTAAATTGCCCAGAATTTCTGTTTCCATGAATTGAACACCTTTTTAACCATTTTGTCATCATTCGAACCATTCATGTATGCAAACTTTCCAATCATCATCTAATGCTGCTGCTTTTCAGTTAAGCAGCTTCTGTTTCAGCCAACCAAATGCAAAGAAGTCAAGGGGATTGGCTTCACAATTCTTCACAGGTATGTTCTTAATGTACATACTGTACATGGATTCTAACCACCTGGAAAGCCAGGGATTTTCATTGGTGTTTGGAAAAAGTCATGGAAAGTCAGGAAATTTTTCAAAAAATTGCAGCACACTGTCATTTTTCATATAGTGTGACAATGGTGTAAATATAAATTTTAGTCCCTTAAGCAAAATGCAATAATTTAAAAAAAATAATTTTGTTTTCATTGTAAGTAAACTTAATATCCAACAAAACTGAGAAACACATTACAAAAGTAACCTACAAAAAGATTTATAAACAAAATAAAAATTCTTAGTTGTAACAAAATAGCAAAGGTTAAAAAATCACAAAGGAATTACAAAAATAAACACAGTAATCGCATAACAACCAGTATTTTGCTTAAATAATTGAATTGATGGATAAGTTAATATACACTCTATGCCCACCAATTTAAAATCTCAAGTTTATTATTATTATTATTAAATATATATCGCATAAGTGATGTCATTGGATATTCTTTCTGGTCTTGTTATTTACATATTACATTGTTATAATATATATTAAAACTTACAAAAGCCGGAACTGGATGGGATTATTTTGTTTTTCCGTGTCTTAGGATTTCCTCCATTGACAGGATATAGTCTTACTATGTTTTATTACTTTCTATTGCCAATACAAATGACCTGAAAACATTTATTCACACTTTTATGGAGTTGGGTGAAAAAAATGAATTTCTTTACGATTTTCATATTATTTGTTAGAAATGTCTACATATGTTGTAAAGAATTTACATATAAATAAGTGAGTAGCGTCCAATCTTTAATAAAACAGTCTAACGTCAATGGGTCTCAGAAAGAAAAATGGAAGTGTTAATAGATAAAGCGATCTTTATCTTGGAAGATAAATCTAATCTTTAACCAATTTTTCTATAACAATTATTACATCTTAGGAAATAAACCTTTAATAATAAAGGGAGACGATGGATACCCCTCCTTGGTGTGGTTAGTATCCAAGTGTGATTTTTTCCCTTTCGCCATTCTCATAAAAACTAAATTCAGTTTCTGTAATTTTATTTTATTTATTGTTAATACCCTATAACTTTCTTTTTTTCAAACACACTGCAGCAAACTTTAAGCTTGTTTTCGATTTTAGTAGACCCTATATTATCGAAATATACTTATTTTCCTGTTAATTTTATTGTGATGAAAAATAAACAACACGCGAGTTTCCGGCTTTTGCGCTTGTACAGTATTTCCCTGTATTTGGGTTCGTCGGCACGTCCTTCTAATTTTGCGAAAACATAGGGCAACCCACGTGTTTTCCTGCTCAGTGTAGCGTTGTTTCTCGTTGTGTGAGCATTACCCAGCGCGTCTAGCAAAACAATTCAATTTTTTTTTCCTTTTAGCTCCACGAAAGGGCCGTGCCGTGCTATGATTCAGAGAGGCGGCCGCATCAGGAGGCACCGTAAAGGGGTGGCATTTCGAAGACTTGCACGGCCCTGCGTAGTTTAAACACGAAATATTTGAATTTCGTCGTATAAACCGTCACCTTTATATCCCGATTATATTCGTTCTTCGATGCTAAATTTAAATGCATAAATGATTCATAAGGTCGTCCTCGTCTTTAATATAGAAATGTTGCGAAGGCAACCAAAAATGGCACTTTGCTCTTCAAAAAGTACAGATTATTCCTTGATATATTATTGCTAAAAACAATAGTTCCTATGGAATTTTGTTTCGGGATTATTTGTACGCGTATCCGTTATTTCATAATCAAATAAACGTCGTCGTTTTCTCCATCCGACACCTTCAAATACAAGAAGAATTTTTCTTACCATTTTGTGCGCTATAATGCGTAAACGTGATACAGGGAATTTACTGTGGTTTAATGCATTTCCTGTACAGCCTACGTCACATTACCGCGAAAAGCTTAAAAAATAAAAACTAAACTCCTGAAGGACGGGGACCGTTGCCCGGCTCTAACGGCGGCACCGACAAAGCCAAACGTTTCCATTGATTCGAATGTAAAAAGTGGACGATACGCACACATTAGCAGATGCGGTGCCAGCAATTCAGGGGTTTCTCCTATAGCGTGATGTAAAAATCGGTGGTTAATTCGAAGAGTTATATCTTGATTTATTACCGTAAAAACCGGTTGAAAACAGTTTTGTACAATTTAAAATGTAATAATTTTATGTGACTTACAAATAATTTAAGGCAAAATAAACCAAAGACTATTACAGAGACAATTCTTTATAATTACACTTATATCATTCAACAAACTATTTTCGTACGAAAATTTACAAATTCTAGAACAGAACCAAAACCAGAGAGAACCATTGCAGAGAATGTCTTCTGTGACTTTAATTGAATCAAATTATTCCGCAGCAGTCTCGGGTTTTTGAGTTCTCCAAATGCTTTTTCATCATAAAACTTCACCATCCCGGATGAGACAAACAATACTTAACGACATTTATTCAAATTTCTAATTTTCTATTAATAATTCCACGACTTCTTCTGTTTTGTGTATCAAAACTTCGTCTTTTCGTGTTTTTCACCTTCAACGGACTTTCGTTGTATTTTGGCGACGTCACAAACAATGGACACAATTTGAGAAAATTCAAATTCGAGTAAAAACACAAATACGGAGAGTCCAAGTTTCAGAGATGACACAAATTGGGGAACAAATTTGAGCACAGACACAAGCCGGAAGAGTCCAAATTCGTGTAGACCAATTTGAAAAAATGATAATTCACTAAAAGACAGTAATAATGAGGCACAGCCGGGACAAAGTCTTAATCGAAATTGGCATTGACGCAATCGGGATGTCAAAACAGCGGCGGGGCAAGACCTAAATTTGACGTGGGCAAGCTGCATTTCGCGAGGCCTTCTGGTGGAGCAAGAAGACGGATTTTATAAAATAAAAAGCAGTCGAAACTGTCAAATTTTTATTCCTAAAAATGCAAACTATATTCTTTAACTAACATTAAAGAAAAATTAATTAAAGAAACAGAAATTTCCTGCTTTTAGCCTTACCGAACTCCTTAATAATTGTATCGTAATTTAACTTAGATGCTATATATGCTTCAATAGATAAAACTGCGAAAGCTGAAAGTCTTTCCTGACCCATTGTATTTCTTAAATAATTTTTTATTCGTTTTAAATTTGAAAAGCTCCTTTCAGAGTAGGCAGTACTTACCGATATTGTTAACAAAATTCGAACTGCAATGTAAATATTTGGGTAAATTTCTTTCAAGTTATTTTCTATTATGTATTGGAGTAGCTGTTTCACATCTTTAATGAAGTTGGGTAAATTTGGGATCATTGTTTGTAATTATTTATATAATTCGTAAGGTTGGAAGTCACTGCTCTCACCCACTCGCAGGACTGAATGTAAATCTTGATGGTTTTTTTAATATTTGCTCTTTTGGAATATTTTTTTAACTCGCTTAGATCGTAGAGAAAATCAAAATTTTCAAAATGTTGATTTAAAGACAAATCGCGAATCAATATTGCTTATTATAGACTCAATCGTGGTGTTAAAAAAATCTGTTTCATACCTTCTTTTGGGAGACTGTATAGATTGATCGCTGCTTTCATCATCGAACATCCTTTTTCTTTTCGACTATCTTTTCATTTTAAAAATCTTTTGGCAGTTTTTAGTCTTTTGGCAAGATCAATAGATACTGTATTCATTATTTTATGTCGCTTCTTTTTGAGTTTGTTCTGTGAGGTGTTCGTTATCCGATCATGTGTTCGTTATCCGAACATAAAAATCTTTCGCGAAAGTGTTCGTTATCCGATTTGTTCGTTAACCGAACTGTTCGTTAACCGATCACCCACTATANACTTTTAATTGGTTGTTTGTGTTTTTAAAGGACTTTTTTACCTTTTGGCGGCATGAAGCCTAAAAAGGAAGGCCTGTCTCTATTGATGTGTAGTCTGGAATGCAAAATAAATGGTGATCCCTCTTGGACAGACTTTTCTTTGATTTATTTAATTATATGATTTATTTTTCATTTTTTTAAAATTTTTTGATTGATATTTTGACAGAATAGAAAATCAGAAAGAATTGTATGATTTATTTTTTCTAGTTTTTTATGCATAAATCATTATTTTTTGTATTAATATATTGATTATTTTATGTTTGTAATTGTTTTGAAATAAAAATTACTTTAATTTTAAATATTACAATTTTATTTATATTTGTGGTAATACAAAATTTGTAAAGGGATCTGTAAATTTATTTTGCCTAGGGCTTGCAAAGGTCTAAATTAGGCCCTGAGTGG